TTTGAGTGCACATTTGGGCGGCATTATGCTAATATTTCCACATAGTGAGGTAGATATGTGGGGGCGTGTTAGAACGAGCCGTTTTAGGGGGGCATGGCAGAGTCTTAACTTTGATCAAGAATATCGCTTTGGTTTTGAGACTTTAGTCTTTGCAACTTCAGGGATCTTATCTATGCACAATCAGCTTGTAACACTCCAAAGAGAAAGGAAAACTTGAAATCGCATCATATGACCCCTTTAAAACATTACGGATAAATGACAACATAAAAAAAGATTAACCCTTTTGTTGGTTTACTTTTAACAAATAAAACACCCAACAGTGAACTTAAAGGAAATGATTAATTATTGGTTTTAGTTCTTGTTTAAAATGCCTCCCAACTGCATTCCTCAAGTCCAACTCTGTTGCTGCCGGGAAGTTGGTCATCACAGCATCTGCCAAATAAGAAAGAAAAAAAAAGCACAAGAAAAGCTTGACATAATTTTTTACTTTAATTACACTAATTGTGACAGGGAGTCATTCTCTTTTGCTTGGATGCCAACTAAAAACAAAAACGAGATATATAGTGTATCAGCATTCAGTGTGTTAAAAGAGAGAAGCTCTCTGGTAAATGTTGTGTGTTTTATACACATACCTCTGATGACCGAGAACAGTGCAGTCTTTTCAAATACCTCTTTCTGCTGTGGACCACCCCCCTTCATGTTGAATTTGGACATGAGGGAATTTTTTTAAAACCCTAAAATATAATACAGATTGAGGTGATTAACAATTGCAGACAAAGTTTGACATTTCAAGTCGAGGAATTCTTTTTTAAATTTCTAATTTGCGTTGTAACTTATTGAGTATTGACACCAAAATGTTTGATTAATGTGGCAAGATTTGTAGGCTCTTTGTGGTTTCTTACTTCAACTCTGCACAACTTTGACACCTGAATAGCACATGCCAATGTCAGGCGAACACAGATACTTACAAGACCAAGTAGGAATGTCCTTTGTCCTTTAAACTTAGTGCTCTCTTGTGTAAATTTTTTTAAAAACACAACACTGATCTCTAACTCTCATGTCTTGCGTTGCCAGTAGTCATGTCTCATGTAGGGCTACAATTGAACAAAAAGAACTGTAATTGCATTTTTATTTATAAAATGAAAGACGAATATCAATAATATCATATAACCTGAATAGCACATGCCAATGTCAGGCGAGTAGTATTATATGCATCCGTGTACAAGTGTTTACCAACCTTAAACATTGATGCCCATTGACCTGCAAGTTTTCAATCACTAACCCTTTAAAAACTCTTTATTCCAGCAGTTTAAGTTTTTCCCTATAGTGCCCCTGTACTGTCTCTGCCTCCAAAATTGTCTGGCACAACTGACTTCTTAACAACCCAGTGATAGCTGCTGTAAAAAGTAGCCCAGTACACACATTAACCTCAAATGTACATGGAATAATAAATTCACCTCTACTGTTTTATTTCATTATGTTTTCTGTTTGTACTGTTTAGGTTTTAATGCTGCATTGCACATCTGAGCTATTTGCACTTATTATTTGTATTCTTAAGCTTTACTATCAATTTGGAAGTTTCAAAATAAATCTTATTGTAACGTTACTTGTACAATGACAAAGATATTCTATTCAATTAGCTCATGCGCTCTCTGTATCTAACAAGCCATTGTTCAGTAATAAATTCAATATAATAATTAAAATAAATGATGGACTTTGTCAAAGATGAGAGCTTTAGTGAGGAAATGTTGTTTTGGAGAGCTTTTTTTTTTATTTTTTTTTTACCATTGCTGCCCGGATCATTTCCAGATGTTGAAATTCCTCCTCAGTTTCTCCACTTCTTCTGAGTGTGTTCACTGTATAAATTAATATGGATTCATCTGGCTACAGATAGCTGCTCTGACTACGAGCTAAATCGTGGCTACGCTCAGGCTACGTATTGAACATGTCAAAGAAATTAAACCAAACACCTGGTAAACGCTGTTACTTTGCTTACATGATGAAATATCATACATCTCACAAGTTATTTTGCCAAAAAACGACATGAAACCAAATTCAAGGTTATTTGGGCTAGAAGTGGGATACACATAGCCGGACTATATCGAGTCTATACTTATCCGAGACGTTGAAATGACGGCTATTGCTTGCTGGGAACCTTTTTACACCACAGACTGAACAAAATTAAGCATTGCTTGGTAATTGGTCAACAAAGTATTGAAAGTTGTGTAAATATTGTTATACTAACAGTTGTCTGAATTTTTGGTTGATTGTAATCCATTACATACCTTTCAATCAACGTTATCTGACATTATCAAGCTGAATTTGTTCTGACACAGTTTAACTCTGAGTTCTTGTCATATTTTATTACCATTTTCTAAACTATAGCAAATAAACTGTGATAATGTGAGAAATGTTAAAGGTGTCTGAATATTTTTGGTTTGACTGTATATTTAATTTTTACAGTGAAGACTATGCAGTGCTATTTTACATTTGATTATTCGGTTTCTGTACCCGGACACCTACAAACTTGAAAAAACTTAAAGGGGGCATAATGTTAATCTTGAGTACCTATAGAGTAGTACTGCATCCTTCATATCTCCAAAAAGTCTTTCTATTTCAGTTTCTAAGTCAGTTTCTATTTGGGGGATTTAAAGGGTTAGTTCATCCAAACATATAAATTCAGTCATAATTTACTTGCCTCCACACTGTTCAATCATTATTTTTTTTCTGAACACAAAAGGTGATTTTGGTCAAGTTTGTTCTGCTGGTTTCTGTTCATACAATATCAGTCAATGGAGCCTGACTTTAAGAAGATTCATGACTTTATTTGTTGGTGCTTTTGAAGCTTCTGAAACTCAGGTCTCATTGACTGATGTTGTATGAACCGCCCTGGCTACTAGCATCAGTTACGTCGCTTCACTGCCAATCACAAATCCTCTCCCGTGGCCTCATGGTGTCCATCATATGCACACTTCAAAATCTCGCTGGAAGTAGTAGGTCATCCAGGAACTTTTATGAGTACTGTGAATTCAGACATATGAATTCTTTGTGACATACTCTTTTCTAGCGTCGGCGTCGCAGTACTCTCATGAACACGCGGCAGAGACTGACCAGGAAGAGAAGAAACTGTTGAATACAGAGATTTTTTTTTTCTTTGCACACAAAAAGTATTCTTGCAGCTTCATAAAATTAGGGTACAACGACTGATGTCTCATAGACTATTTTAACGATGTCCTTACTAAATTTCTGGGCCTTGAACATGGTAATGGAGGGTCAGAAATCTCTCAGATTTCATCAAGAATATCTTAATTTGTGTTCCGAAGATGAACGGAGGTCTTACGGGTTTGGAACGACATGAGGGTATGACAGAATTTTCGTTTTTGGGTGAACTATCCCTTTAATGTTGCAGATTGCTTTTATGAAGCAAAGTAGCATTGTTGTACCTCGTTTTTTTTAGATGCCCTTGAGCAAGGCCCCCAACTGCTCCCCGGGCGCCGCAGCATAAATGGCTGCCCACTGCTCCGGGTGTGTGTTCACGGTGTGTGTGTGTGTGTGTGTGTTCACTGCTGTGTGTGTGCACTCAGGATGGGATAAATGCAGAGCACTAATTCCTAGTATGGGTCACCATACTTGGCCACGTCACACTTTGTCTCTTTTTTTTTTACTAAGTTGTGTCCAATTACCTAATTGCACATTTGCCAACTTAATATGGCCTTAATTAGCATGTTAGCTTTAACAACTTTTTTTTTTTTTTACTTTTAAAAAACATAAAATTGCTATAAAATTAAAGCCATACGTCTAACTAAATTGTTCCCAATTTAAAATTGATGTCACATTAGTTGAGGTTCTTGTGAGATTTTGTGTAGGCGCTGTGACAAAAATAGACACCGGGTGACACCCGAATTCCACAGAATTTTTGATGCATTTTCCAGTCAAAAATGTATATATTTCTGTCACAATAGTACTTCTATCACAAAATAACAACCACATTTTGTAATATGACACTTGAAAGAGAGAAGCCCCCTTTTAGAGTACCATTTCCATGGCAATGCAATGTCCAATTTCAAAACGGTTTTCAGCAGGGGTCTTGAAATTTCGATTTCGATATATATATATATCATCGAAATTTTGTATATATACTCATATATAATTTTTTTCACACCACAATATTGAAACTCCACATCAGTATAGAATTTAATACAATTTATAAGCTAGCACATGCACAGCTTTCTTGTCTCACAGACGGATGAAAACAGATGACTAATATTACAGCATGGCATTACAACACCTATAAACCAGTCACTGACAGACTGAAATAAAAAACATTAGGCATTTTTAAATACGTACACAATTTTGTTTAAAATAACTGCCTGCCGGTGCTAAAACCATATAAAACAGTTAGTGGGGGGCGTATTTTTGAAACAACAACTAGGATTTTTGGACAAAATCACTGAGATTAAGTAGATGACTTCTGAACCAATACTAAAACAACAATAAACCTTTTACAATAAAGCATTTCTGGGAAACAGAAACCTCATCTGTAACAGAGGTTCAAACTGTATTCTATAAAGAATCATTTTGACATTAAGGTTAAAGTCAATGTTTGTAAGTTCATTTGCAAGTAGAAGTGAATTATTCTCTCAAATATAACATATTTGCCAATGGACATCTATTCAACAGCCATCGCTTTACAGTAAAGTAAGTAACAATGGTAAAAGTCATTGAAACTTTTTTTTTACTTGATTCACAAGAAATTGGTGAAATTTTTTAAATGTTTATAAATGCTCCTGCTGCATAAATTTGTGGTGATTGCAAACAAAAATCCTATTGAAATTTAATTAGAGAGCATGCTTCTGGTGTTTTATCTTATCATAGTTGGTTGGGACATAAAAAGCAACGTGGCTAATCAATACTGTACTCTGGAAGCTCAAGTATATTTACTTTTTTTCCTGAACTACTAATTTTAAACCCAAATAAATACAGTCTAGGTTGGGGGGGGGGGGGGGGGGGGGAATTCATATTAATAAGTGCATGCCAATACTTTTCTTACAATTAGGACAAAATTAGACATTTTGTAGTTTTTGAAATGAAAACAAAATTAGAAACACACAAACTAGGACGATCTGTGCACAAATCTGCAAATAAAAAGCAAATTAGTAATCTAAGTGCATTAAACCATCACGATTGTGGATATATTACATCTGAAAATTACACCTTTTGTACATTGCAGCAGCAGTCAAATGCTATAAAGATACAGATCAAATACGTCCTACATATCATTTAATAACAGATGATTTTTGAAACCAAGCAAATCAGATTATCTACATTTGTATGAACTTCTAGAGTTAGACTCAATGAAATAAATACATGATTTTGAAGGGAAAACATGATATTGAGGAGGAGAAGGCTGATTGTCATGATGACAGAAGTGACAGTACAAAGTCTGTGGGACACAGAAAATTTGCATTCTACTCAATAACTGCTTTATCAATGAGAAAAATGAATGAGTAGCGATTCAGAAGCAAACTGTCTTGATGTTAACGGTTACATTCAACCAAGAATCACATCTTCCACTGGAAAAGACCATTGTTGTTGATATTATCCTCGCAAGTAAAAAAAAAAACTGTATTGGGAGAATTTGGGGATTTCAAAATTTTGTCTTGGATTGTTTCCATTGGAATCATCATGAAGTGCTCAAGTGTTTTTAAATTAAGGTTTAAAAAAAAGAAAGGCCTTTGTTTAATTTTTGAGGCAAATGTCCTGTCATTGGAACTGAAAGTCCCATAATGCATCTCTCTGCAAACTACAACAATATTTCTAGGGTAAAGGTCACATACTGAAAGGCTTTCACTGTTGCAGCTCCTCTTGAGGTAGAGCTTGTTGGTCGGTTCAATATATTGTGATATATTTGAGTCACCGTGAAGGCAAGGGATGATGGGACTTGCATGAATTCAGTCTAAGGGTCAAAATTAAATGACAGTCAGAGTGCGATCACACAGAGGGACTTGTGATTTGGCTGTTGTAGTCTGCAGTCTCCATTTTAAGGATATATGGGATGATACTGTCGATCGGTACATTTCCAATAAGGCCAGTAAAAAACAGCTCTTCAGTTATACTGGAACTCATCAACCGCAACGCTGGTAAACGCAACAGGATTCGGGCCAACCTGCCACATCAACGAGCAATTAATGAAAGGACATTAGCAAATCAGCCAATTAACACCTAAATGTAATGTGACCACAGTTCTGTGAACAGCAAATAAGGCATGTTGTCAGCAACCCCAGAAAAAATATATAAAATATATTTAAGGACAGAGAATTTAAAGGGGTCATATGATGTTGCTAAAAAGAACATTATTTTGTGTATTTGGTGTAATGAAATGTGTTTATGCGGTTTAAGGTTCAAAAAACACATTATTTTCCACATACTGTACATTATTGTTTCTCCTCTATGCCCCGCCTTTCTGAAACGTGTTGATTTTTACAAAGCTCATCGGTCTGAAAAGCGAGGTGTGCTGTGATTGGCCAGCTATCCAGTGTGTTGTGATTGGCCGAATACCTCAAGCGTGTGACGGAAATGTTACGCCCCTTACCATATTGTGATGATGCCCTGTCCAGCCGGAGCGACGAGACAAAAACATGAAAACCCATTATAAACTAGGCATTTGCTGCATCCAGTGGGGACATAATTATGGATTATAATGACTTATACTGTCTTTTTACGCATTGCGTTGCGCCGTGTTAACATACAGGTGCATCTCAATAAATGAGAATATAATGGAAAAGTTCATTTATTTCAATAATTCAACTCAAATTGTGAAACTCG